ACCCGTTCGGATTCGGTCAACTTGTGTTAGGTAAGTTCCTAGTTGGACCCGAACCTGACCCGTGACCCAATTTTGAAAGCCCTAATATTTAGCATATCAAATTCCTCTCATTAATTTGCTTATTTCAACTATAAGTACACAAACTTCAAAGTGATCTCTCAAATAGTCTCATAAATTCGTAATTATGCTTCTAAGTGTATGATTTAGGCTTTGTTTGGGGAAACTTTCTTGCTACTTTATAAAAATTTTTAAATTGGAATTTTTGTACTAAAAAAGCTGCTTTAAAGAGCAGTGAAAATGTAGCTTCAAACGAAGCCTTAGATATATTTGAACTCAAATCCAAACATTTTATATAGTCTTATGCTGATCTCGTTGAATTGCACTGTTTCAACTATAAATTTGTTAAAAATAAAATAAGATAATCTCAAAACTAATTCTTGAAATTTCAGACCCAAATGTTCAATTATTTCAAGATCTTAAAACTATGTATTTAATTAGATGAAATTTTTGTAATGATCCATCAAATATATTTCAATAAATTGTTTATAGGTGTTTCTTAAAACATATCAATTATAAAAAAACAAAGAAAAATTACTCATATTAATGTAAAGATAGATGATAAAAGGTGCAAATATAGCCTCACATACAATGGTTAAAAAAAATAAATAAATAAATATCATGTGGTATTTATGCAAATCGCCATTAATTATTTCATGAAAATAAATATTTCAACGTTGGAAATGAAAAAAATAAATAAATAGAGGTAGATTTCTCTTTCAAGTAGATTTTGGCAAGAAGTTTTGGTGGGTGAAATGATAAAATCTACTAATGTCATCAAGTAGAAAATAATAAGAAAAGATTATGTGGATAGTTTGGTAAATATATTTTGTTGCCTAAAATTGCAAATGGGAGGGGGAAAGATGTAAATAGTTATCAAATGATTTGGTAATAGATCTCTATCTTAGCTCTATCACTATACCATTAAAGGTAAGTGATACAATTGTATTACTTGTATTTTCTAAATTTTATCTTGCAATAAAAGGTAGGGGGATATATATAAATTGCCCAATTATAGCGACCACATGCATAATTTTTTTAGGTAAAGAAGTTGATTTTTCTTTTTCATATTGCCATGTCTTTGTATTTAAAATTTAACTTGAGATTAATGTAATATTTTTTTATAATATTTATAAGTATCTTATAGTTTATTTAAACTCGCGAAATGATCATTGTATATTTATATGTATACATCATATTAATTAAGTCATTTTTATATCTTGAAATCGATTCATTAACTCATCAACTAAAAATTAAATCGAAACTCACTCAAATGCTCCAAGTCATTTAGAATCTATCACATCGAAGACTTAACCCTAATTAGCCGGCCCTTTGTATCAGACTACTAAAGAACTCATTGATGAAGAAAATCCAAAAAGAAATAATCTTCTATTTGGATTCTTTTTTTCCTTGCTATGTTATTGGGGTCCTTATTTCTCTTTGGTTTGGCTGTGTTGGTTTTGTTTTTAGCTGTTGGAGCTGGGCTGGTTGGTTTGTTGTGTCTCTTGGTTTGTTTGGTGCTCTACTTGTCATTGGTTGTTTAGGGTTCAAATGATTTGATCCAGATGTCGTTTGTTGGGGGTTGGTTGGTGTTGTGGCTTGGTTACTCTAGGTAGGGGTGTTAGTTTAGGGTCTTGGGTCGGGTTCGGGTCGAACCCGAAAACTGACCCGACACTATTCGGGTCAACTCAAACCCGACCCATTTCTGCAAACGAGTCAGTTTTTCGAACCCGAGCCCCACCCGCTTCGGGTCTGGGTCAACCCGACACGAGCCGAATGACCCGGGTCAGACCAAAAATTTCAAGTTTTCAAGTCAAAAAATGGGTAATTATCCAATTTTTGGTCAAAAAATGGGTCAATCTCAGGGTTTCTGGTTAGAAACTGGTCAATTATGTTACTACGTCAATCCGAACCTAAAATTTTTGGGTCAGGTTCGATTCTGATTTTCGGGTCGTGTCAAATATTGACACCCCTAGCTCTAGGCATTAGGCCTTGGGAAGCTAGTTTTTCTTTTGTGGGCTTTGTGCTCCTTAACGCTTCTTGACCTATTGTTAAGTTTCAGACTTTGAAAAAAATTAGCCAATATGACTTAGCTCTATCAATTATTATGAGTAAAAAATAAGGCTTTGTAAAGATATTCAATTATATATTGATGGGCATTTCAATTTGATATCTTGCATTAGCCCCCATATTAGCAATATTAGGGGTGTCAATTTCGGGTCACGGGTCGGGTTCGTGTCTAACCGGGTCGTGTTCGAGTCGGGTTTTCGAGTCGTGTCAATTATTGACAGCCCTAAGCAATATTTTAATTGACACATTTTGGAGTTAAGTTGATACACTTCTTTAAGGTCCAATGATTCTTTAGGGTGATGGGCCCACCAATTAAAATCAAGAGGTAGCCAGCTTATAAATGTTCTACAGCCTTTAGATTTCAGCCATTATTATTATTTTGGAAACTACAACACTTACAATAACAAAAATTTATTACAGCCCTTCAATGAAAATTTTAGAATGAGTAGGACATAGTGTGGCCCCAAATCTCACTTAGCACACATTTTAAAGCAATCATGATGTCATAATACATAGCACATTTATCAAAGCATTTATATATTCCCAATATCTTCATAGGGTGGCCCCCACAATCTCACTTAGCACACATTTTAAGGCATCGTGTGATTATTATTTGTGCTCTCTCTATTCGGACAAATTATTGCGTCCGGTCACCTGACATGCAGACATCCAATCCAGAGACGCCATCTCTAGCGTGTTTTTATTGGTGTCAGGACGAATCCAGATATCGGACACAATAATTTTCCCTCTATTCTCTTAAAAAGGTAAGTGATGCAATTGTATTATATTTTTTTGTTTTGTTATTTTTATTATAAAGCTGGAGAAATGTGAAATGTCATTATGACTGCATTAATTATATAATGTATATATATATATAAATGTAAAAGTAAGAATAGTTTGTTTAAGGGTTTAAGAAAATTAATTCAAAATATTTTTAGATCAAAGTTTTTATCATGATGGATCATAAAGTTGGTAGATTTGTTTTAAGATGAGTATAATATATTTTTTAATTGATTATTTATATTATGCGCTCATCTTAAAGTTCAA